TGGCACTCAAGGTATAGGATAAAAAGCCAGCATCTCCTCGGAGTAAAACCCACCCACAAAAGCCAACGAGATTAATGATCTGTTCCACAACTCCCTCGAAATAGGGGTGTTTTGTGATGAAATACTTTTTACCCTATAAAACTAAACAAATAAACAACGTGCATCATCTCGCTTATATAAGCAGACGGCATGCCAAACTGCACATCAAAGCAGCCAACGGATCGTGAGCTACAGCTGCGAACACAAAAAAAAATCCAACCGAAGGTCACTGACCTCCTTCAAGGAGTAATTATTGTTCTGCCCATGTCTAGGAGCTTGGAAAATATGATAAGACAATAGGACTCACGGAAGGAGCAATGTTTTCCCTCGTATCCCGTCCCGGCACACACACACCATGACCGGTACCAGTCCTGCCGACACAGCCCGCCATGTTGGCACCGGTTCGCCCTCCCACAAAAGTCCCGGATGTTGCAGTTGTCCATGATGATGCCGTGACTGTCTGAACTGGTCATCATGCTCAGAACGTCAAGGTCATCGCCATTGAACTCGATCTCCTTCATGCAACCAACGAATCCTGAAAGATCCAGAATATGAGATTATTTCATGATGTCGCGTCCTTCGTCTATCCTAAAGTATCATCCTATGACCCATTTCAATTCGATTGTACACCCACACGTTCTTAAAGGCATCCGATGTGACTTTAGGGCGACAAAACTGGATTTTCAAAGTGACTTGGCTATTTTCAGACAAAAAGGGTACATTTTGGTTCCTTTCTCCTATCAAGCAAATGACCTGAAATTTTCTATAAGATTTGCCCTTTACTATCATCATTCATTTCAGGATAGGGAGGAAGATGGAGTGAAATATGCTGCATTTGCTCCCGAGACTTTCTAGTTAACAATATTATTTTCTCCAATTTAAGCTGGAGCTCAAGTTTACTGCATACACTATAGACGTCTAAGGGGCAGAGCCTTGCGTATTTTGCGTGTCCAAGGGCGATTCCTCAAGCCGCCGTAATCCCTGTTAGGGGAGTTCTCCCAAATAATGATGGAAAGAAGAAGCCCTCCTACCTACCCCGGTGGGCCCTTTCTGACGCAAGTAGAAGGTAGAATGCATCATTTTCGGTGCGCTTGTCTATGTGTCATCGTCAAGATGACGGGTGAGCCCTAATTGTGCTTTGTGTGTGTGTGTGGAAAACTTTGCACAGAGTTTCATAAGCGTTTGTCATGCAGCTCCCGTCAGCTGAAAACTCGGACATTGGTATTCTACAATGGAGTACCGTCATTGAGCAGAGCACGCTTGTTGTTTCAGTGAGAGGTTTTCTAAATAGCTTTTGAAAATAAAAAAAAAGCAAGAAAGAAAGAAATGCCCTGGGAAATTTATTCAAAAGAGCTTGTTTGCTTTCCAGCAACATGAATTTGCCAATATTGTGTTTTCGATAAAAATGAAGATGAGTGTCATTTTTGTTGACTGTGCATTGTGAGAGGGATATCCTCTATCGTTTTATAGAAGATACATTTCCCATATTTCGACATTAAGATAAACGTATTCTTTATGCATATGGAATCAGACAAACTATGTATTATAAGTTACATATGTTTGTTCATTTATCTACAACTGTCTACAACTCCACCCAGGTGTGAATGGGTACCTAACTTCGGATGGGGAAAGTCGTATTGAGGTCACCTGGTGGTGCCGAATGGCAGCCGCACAGACCCTTGCGACAGTGTGTGTTGTATGTATCATATGTATTATGTGATTGTAAACCCTGCATCAATTCAGCGCTATAAAAAGGCTGCGATTGCACGGGTTATGTTTGGTCAATAAACCATTTTAAAAATGGACTCGAATGTTGCTTACCGACTCCGTCGCCCTGTTGGCCCGCCCCAATGGTTAGAGCACCCCGTCTGGTGAAGTATCCGTCCAGATCACGGTCCACCCTCCTCCCGTCTACCACCAACTTCGCGTGACTGCAACCACAGAAGTTCGCGTTAAAAAACATCCAATGTGCAGAAATATTCTGATTAACGCAATCTTTAGGATATTGACACATACTTCTTCACATTAGCACATTTCAATCAGTATTTCATACTTTTGGTATTCAGAACTGCAGAAGCAAGCCCAGAGATGAGTCCTTTATTTTATAGGTGGTACCCTACAAATCAGCCAAGGACCCTTCCAGTAACCATTTTCCGTCAGAATTTTGGGAATTGTTGCTCCATGAGGGCCAATGTACATTGGGATAGTGTGGTTTCAACTCAGTATGTCGATAGGTGAATTTAAAAAATCGGGTTTCGAAGCCTTTTAAAAACTGCATTGGCCATGTCATACATTCAGAACCTTTACAACTTTTAACTACCAAACACAAAAGTTATGGAAAAGGTGGGACATTACGACCTCCATGGTGTACAAAAGAGAAGCCAAACACTTCAGATATAGTCCCAGACAATTAATTTTTTGTACTATTTGTCTACCTTTTATGGCCTGCTTCGAGCTTAATTTGTTCATGATATTTCTAATTAGCCTTCGCGCAGAAATGTGCAATATCATTATAATATTACAGATTTAATAATATTTTACGTAGAATTCTACGCTCAGAAATTCGTCAGAAACACACATGGAAGCATATGCATCAAGAGCTGACCACCACTGACAGCGTGGGTTTAAGAACAGTAAAATTGAGCCAAATGGGGAGAATAATTGACCAGGGGAGCTAAGCTACCGTGGAGTTCATTTGCCAGCGCCGTTAGCTAGGGGGGAAATAACCCTTTAGCAGACCTAGGACGTCCTTGCGCAGACTGACTCTCCTGGCCAACTAGTTCCATTTTTTTTACCGAATTTTACTAGTTCCAGTACTTGGCCTTTCTCAGCACTGGAACTCCAGTGCTGAGAAAGTCTCAGCTCTGGTGTTCCAGTGCTGAGAAAAGAGGGCGTTACTTTTGTATATCTGCCTATCAGTATCCCGTAGGAAGGCCTGGTGGAGGCTAGAAGGTACCTACTTGGCGACGAATTCGACTTGAACGGTGTGCCAGGCGTTGTCGTTGAGAGGCCCCTCCCCCACCACCAGCACGGCGGTACCAGGTGTGGACAGGTACGGCATGGACGCGATGGGCGCTACCAGGTCGTCTGGGCGGGACACCCCCACCTCCAGGTGGACTCGTCCATCCCTTAAACGGACCTGTCAGATCAATCAATCAATCAACATCATCCAAATATTACATAATACAATGTGAAAGTCGACGTGTTTCCACATCTTTAGCTTGTGATGCTTCAGTTTAACATAGACCTGAACTGATCCTCCGACAATGTACGTACCCATATGCCTTTTCCAGCGATGTCGTCTATCTCGATGGGTGCGGAGACGAGGATGCCAAAATCGCGCAGGGTTCGGAACCGGAAGCCCAGACGGACATTTCTAGGGTCCCATCTCTGTAAGAATCAAACAGCATACTGTATCTACACCATTAAAGTATCCAGTGCAATTTCAGGGCGGCAAATAAAAAAAAAATATGGATGACGAAATCTACTTCATATTGACATTTACTGCCGTTTTTTTCTTATCATACTCTCGTTATCATTTCATATTTAGAGGTACGTAAGGGTTCTCTATATTTTTGGGTACTAACAATAATAACAATTTACCGAAGGAAAACATATTGTTTTTTTCTATGTTTCCTCTTCTTCTCCAATCAATAAGGTCAATGACCTGAACCAGACGTCTGTCACCATGGTAACTAGTGTTGGGTTATCATTGCAATTTTATAGCAGGAGAGATTTAGACTCCTGTCTGATCCTATATGAATGTGTTTGAGTAAGAATTAACAGACCAGACCATATGCAAAGGTGAACATTATGCATTTGCTTTGCAAATGTAACCTTTCGAATTTTCTTTAATTTTCAATTTACTTCATTTTCAAAGTGCGAATATAACAATAAATAAACAACCAAACAAATATTACCTGTATAGATAAGTAGGTCTCGCTGGTGGGGAAGGTGAAGGGGACGACCGGGTCCTGTTCCCGGCAGGTGAGGTCAGGCACGCCGCCGATGTGAGACACCGTGTGGTCACTCAGGTGTTCCAGAACCGACACGTGGTTCCAGTACACGCTGCGCATGCACCCTATCATGTTGGCCACGGTATCTATACCTGGACATGGGCAAGGGAGCCGAGAATCAAAATCAGATGTTTTTTGTGTGGTTTTCATGATAGTTTTAGTCATTATGAAGCAAGTTTAAACTGTAATTTCCAACACCGAAATTGGAATTTGCCGAATTTTCGACTGTTTTAATCCAGTCTTTGTTAAGGAATAAGCAATCCACCACTTCTTTGACGTCATGTTATGCAGATGACACACGTACACGTGACTCACTGGATCATGTAGTCTGAAGAATGTTGCAAAAAGTCTGTGGCGTCCCCCGTCTTGGCTGTAATGCCTGTCTACAGTGCGTCAACAAAGACGGGGGGCGCTACAGACTTTCTGCAAGGTGAGATCCACTGCTCACCAAATCACGTGTATCATCAGTGACACGTCACAGAAGCGGCGGATTGCTCCTTCGGAATTTGGACACTCACAGAGACAATCCAATAACAATACCTCCACTTTTCATGGAGGTAACAAAATGTACAACTGACCGGTTAGCTGTTGGTGGTCCCCGACACTCCCAAAATGCACCGCGCGCTCTATCCGCAGGTGGAAGGACGGTAGGTATACGCCGTCCGCCTGGAGGGTCTGCGCAGGCGCGGAGTCCACTGCCATTGACACTTCTGGACCACTGTGCATGATCACTAACGTGTGCCACCTGAAAATGATGATATTGTACATGTCAAATTACCGGTGATGGTTGTTTGTATATTGAATACTGTTTAAAACTAGAAAGGTGACATTTGCAAAGCAAACAATGCGTAATGTTTACTTTCAAATGGCCTAGCCTAACAAACAACGTCCGGCTAGTGTTCGGGAGGCCAAATTCATGAATGCTTGATGTACCTCAGGTGACATGTATAATTAGAGTAGATTGCCTCTTCATATCTTATCACATAGCATATCTAACAGGTGATTCAAACCTTACGCAAGGTAACTTGACCTTTCTACTGACAACTTTGATCAATCAATCTCTGCCAGACATACATTCATTTATATAAGTGACAATTGCAGAATATGTACTATTTAACTGTGTAAAATAGACTTTCGTTAAAGAATTGTTGTTATATCGTTTTAGATATTGTGTCAGTTGCAAACAGAGAAAAAAGCAAAGAAATAAAGTTACCATAATGCCAAAATACCAAAGCATCATAAATACTGAAGAAAAAGATTTTTTAATGTTAAAAAATTAAAAAAGAAATTTGAAAAATGAAGAAAAAATTTCAAAAGAAATTAAAAAAAATTACAAATAAAAAAAAGATTATCTAAAATTAAAAGATTTAATTTTTTTTCGATTTAAAAATGCCTAATACCTGTTGTCGTCCACCCTCTCTGCAGACGTCAGGCTCATGGGCCGGTCCCCGAAGTCGATGGTAAAGACGGCGTGACCCTGCCGCACGCTCCCCATGATGTAGTTCCGGGTCGGGTGGAGGCCGAAGCCGAAGAAAAGTGTCCCGGTCTGTTGTTGGGTCTGTTTTAGAAGAAGAAGAACTTTATTGCACGACAATTGTACAAGGTATAATGTGTGGTAACGATTATTGAACATAGTACAAAAAGAAAAGGATATAGAATGAAAATTAACATCCTAATTACTAAACATCAAGAGATAATACAGTATACAATCAAAATCAAATCATGAGTTTCGGCATTATTCCTAATAACAAAACAATATTTTATGTATTTACCTATTTTCTACTGGAAACGTTTGAAATAACCCAAAAAAGCCACGTGGATCAAGAATACAAGTTGGTTAAGAAACTTAAAGAAATTCAACCCAAGTGATGAACCGGGACGAGAGGGGGATAGAAACTTAGCCATGTGTGGGATTGTGTTCTCGACGCAAAAGCGCCACCTACATAGGCTACATATAGTGGCGAGAACAGTACTCCAGTCAGAAGCTCTGAGGGAGATGTCTGATACACATCGAAACGTATACGTAAGCAAGGCAATACAAAATCCCTGGTTGTGCAGACGAAAATTCCAATATCCATACCCCTACTCAATTTCCAATTAGTATGCAAATAAAAATTCCGATTTGCAAGTAAAACCGTTATCGTAGTTTCTGCATCAACTCAAAGGTTGACTTACGATGGAGTTTTTTTTAGTTATGTCCAACTTCTGAGGGTCGGATTTAAAACATAAATATTTCGGGATCATCTCACTTGAGACAAAAGCTTCGCCCCTGTGGCGTTGCCTTTTGCACGACTTTTATCGTCATCTCTATGGATCAGGTCTTAACGTTCCATTTAACGAGTTTACATTTGGCGCCGCAAAGCCCCTCTGATCTGGGACAAAGTCTCCTTGGCGTCATCATTCTACCGGATAAGATACTACCACGATAGTAGAAATATTTCAAACACTCCGGGCGCCGGGAAAATTCATATTTCATATGCTGGATCATTCATTTTTATGTGAGTTTCGTTGACAGATGCGTAGTAGGGACAGTTAAGGCACTAAGCTACCCTACATGTAGCCTGCCTCTAGCACATTTAGATTAAGTACCACAATCAATCATGTACACCAAAACTATCTCAGGCAACAATCAAATAGGGGAGATAGAGCTATTTATAGAGATGATAAAGTATGATTTAATAGAGGGTGACAGTCGTGTGACAAAAAAAATATAAGTCCTGAGGCAAGGCACCTGGCAGTGGTCAAAATCCAGATTCGTTTCATGAACTTCAAGGTAACTGCTTTGAATAAACGCGGTTCGTAAGAATTAACTCCATGTCTCATTCCCGTATATTCACTATAATATCATTTTCTTTTCAAACACACGTTTTTAACAGACATAAGTTTTCTTCATTTGGTTGCACAATTGTCTGCTTAGATTTTCTATCTATTCATCAATGTCTATATCTATGTCGATGTCAATAAATATATCTTAGTCGACTTCTTTCTCATTGAGATCATATGATGTTATTATGTTTACCGAAGGAAAACAAACTGTTTTTGCTCTGTTTCTTTTCCGTTCTAAACAATGTCCTCTGACCTGGTCAATGACCTAAACCAGACCGTCTCTCACCATGGTAACTGGTGTTGGGTTACATCATGTTGCAATTTTATAGTAGGAGGGATTTAGACTCCTGTCTGACCAAATATATGGATGTATTTCAGTAAGAATTAACATAACAGACTATATGCGAAGGTAAACATTATGCATTTGCTTTGCAAATGTTACCTTCCTAGAATTTTTGTTACTTTATGTTTGGGTCTTCCCCATAGGAGTTTTTGAAAAGCGCGTGCCGGCGATAACCACTTCCTGATCAAATAAATGAAATAAAAAAAATACTAGTACCTTAAACTGCAGACTTATCCTGTTGACGAGTCGATCCAATTCGTTCTCCTTGACAAACTCCACGTAGTTGTTCCCCTTCAGAAGTACTTCCGTGATTTCTACACAAAACAAGAATTCAGAGATCTCAGACCTGTATGAAATATTTTGCATCTTGCGTGATAGTGACTGTGTCCTCTTTTCGTTTACCATGGTGTGTTTTCTTTCACAACACCGCCTGTGAGCTGTATGTGATGTATCGAAAAACACCGAGCGCTACCAGATATAGATGTGATCAATGACTTTCTCTCTTTCGGAAAGACTGAGCCCATGCAGAAACACACACACTCGGAGAGAGAGAGAGAGAGAGAGAGAGAGAGAGAGAGAGAGAGAGAGAGAGAGAGAGAGAGAGAGAGAGAGAACGTACGTAACGTACGTA